GCTGACACTGGACCCCCTTTGTCCACAGCAAGCCTCTGTACGCTGCCCTGGGCGCCCTGATTCTGGCCTCCATCACCTACCCACCTGGCGTGGGCCGCTTCATGGCCTCCCGGGTAAGGGCTGGGGAGTGGGAGGGTTCCCCCTTTAGGGCGTTGTCTCACTGGGTCGGTAACTTCAAGAGGAAGCCCCTCACGCCCCTGCCCAGCTCTCCATGAGGCAGCACTTGGACACACTGTTTGACAACAACTCCTGGGCACTGATGACCCGGAACTCGTCTCCACCCTGGCCTGCTGAGCCTGATCCTCAGAACCTGTGGTTTGAGTGGTACCACCCTCGGTTCACCATCTTTGGGACGCTGGCTTTCTTCCTGGTTATGAAGGTGGGTCCTCCCCGGGAGAGGGCAGAGCGAGGCCAGCTCTGGGTGGCAAGGGGCTGTCTTCAGAGCTGGGGCATGCAGCCTCCCCTTCCACCAGGAAGACAGAGTTCCACAGTGGGCTGGAACTCAAGGACGAGTGCTTACTCAGCTGGCACTCTACAGCTCGATCACACTGCGAGCTCTCCTCCCTGCCCACCAGATGCCATATCTGGGCTCCACCTGCTGCGGTCTTGGGTGTGCTGTTTATCCTCTCAGCCTTGCTTACTTCTCTAAGATGGGGTGGTATTCTTTGTACCTAAAGAGCAGGTAAAGAAAGAAGAAGGGGGCTGGGAAGGTGGCTCAGTGGTAGAGCGCTTGCCTTGCATGTATGAGGCCCTGGGTTCGATTCCTCAGTACCACATACGCAGAGAAAGCCAGCAATGGCACTGTGGCTCAAGTGGCAGAGCACTAGAGTTGATCTGAGGAGCTGAGGGACAGCACCCAGACCCAGAGTTCAGGCCCCACGACCGACCAAAAAATAAAAAAAAGAAAGAAAAGAAGGAAGGAAGGAACAAACCTGACATGCTGCCCGCAGGCATTGGACACTGTGAGAGTCATGTCCGTTAAGCCAGACACTGCCTGGGGTACAGGCCTGGGACCTCAGCCTGGGACCTCTGTCCTGTCCCTCCTTTGCTCAGGTTTTTCCCCACTGCCTCTCCCTTCCTGCTCTTGTCCACCCCCTCCCTCCACAGTTCTGGATGCTCATTCTGGCCAGCACGATCCCCATGCCTGCCGGATTCTTCATGCCTGTGTTCATCATGGGTGAGCTGGGGTTGGGGGTAGCTGAGGGTCGGGGCATTGCAGGAGAGCAATGACACTCAGCCCTTCTGGCCCTCCCAGGATGGTGCTGAGCATGGCCCCAGAGACAGAGGGCTGAGGGCCAGGTCAGTCACCATGGCTGCCCCTGATGGCACTCATGACTGATGGCAGTCATTCGTCTGTGGCAGGAGCTGCTATTGGGCGCCTCTTGGGGGAGGCTCTGTCTCTCGCCTTCCCTGAGGGCATCGTGGCTGGAGGTGTCATTAATCCCATCATGCCTGGGGGCTATGCTCTGGCAGGTAAAGTGCCCTGGGCTAGGTCGGGTGGGCAGACCTCCTGGGGATGGGCTGTAGTGGAGAGAGGGTGCTAGCGAGGGCACAGGGGGGATCTGGACACTCAGTGACACCCCCTTCATGCGGCTTCCCTGACCCCAGCCTCCTCACTCCTCTGGTCTCTGGCTTCTCCATCCCACATGCTCTCCTTT